GGTTCTCCACTCGGCTATTTTTGTATCATTCGCCACATGTGCTGCAGTATTTCTTGATATTGCGCCCGTCTGGCCATCTCCTTTACCCACTGCATACCTCGGCCATCCCCGGATGCGGAGCGGCCTCGGCGGGGACCTTGACCCGGCGAATCCCAAGGCCGGACCACGCCCTGTGGAGAACGCTGCAGCGCACCGCTCCGAGTTGGCTGAGCGCCGCTGCAGAGGAGTCCGCGGATCCCTCCTCGATCAGACAATGGGGTAGCGCACCTGCGACCTCGCCAGAAGACCACCGGCTTCCGTCGGCCGCGGCCGGGTGAGCTCTGCTCAGAGCACATGTGCTTGGGGTGATGATGGTCTCGTTATTGGTTTAATGCAATGGTAAAATCTACGTCAAGTGACGGTTTCTTGTCCCAGTGGAAAGGATGAATCTGTCGAAATTCCCGTGGTGCAGGTTTTATCTGATAATGAGGCCTAAATGCTTGCAGTAAATTTTGATGGAATAGCACAGTAAATTTCGAACACGTGTTCCCTGATCAATCCCATCAATTGCCGACAGTTCGATCAAATAATGGCCCGATACTTGCTTTATAATTATGAGCTGCTCCAGAGGAGGGGGTGTAATTAAGTCGCGTCCTCATAAATATCATAGGTTAAATATCGTAGGTTCCAGGTAGCTGAGGATAAACATATAGCAACACAGCCACCGTCTTATGTACACCGTCTTACACCGTCAACAGTCCTCCACCCGGGCTTAAATACTTCAAAGCTGTCTTGGTCGGATATTGGTCAGTGTATGGAGCTCTCAGCTCTGTGGTCATTGCTCATTCATCTGCTTTAGTCATTTAAAGAAACTAATCAAGGGGCTCATGCATTAACGTGTCCGAATACAGTGATGGCCGTACTGCAGCGTATGGTTGGTGGGTAACACGAGACTTGTCTATGATCAACGGCCTGACAGCTTCTCGGCTCGCTGAAATGAAATGTGTGACAACCAGCTTCAAAGATTATATCCATAGTCAATTTAACTATTAGTTCCACAACGATTCAATCTTGATAAGGCGCAGTTAGGATAATTATGGCTGAGCAAGGCGCACTCCTGGGCCTAATTGACAGTAGTTAACCCTACGGCAAGCCATCGTGCGCAGGAGGTCTGCCTTCGTTGTTAAATGAGACGGTGGGCATTAATGAGGAGTCCAGAGGCTTTGTCGATGACGCATTGCGGGTTTTTAAAAGAGAAATGCGTCCTTTTCTTCAAAATGAATTGTATTTGATGCTCAGGCTTGGCGACAATAGATAAATGTCGTGTCAATGGACAATATTAATATTTTTGAGGCGCACATTTATGACTTCACTATTAGGGTGCGTCAAAAGTTTTGATACCAGTTTCATCTATCCGAGATAACTTAGTATATTTCCAAGATGCTCCCAAATATTGGGCCCTGAGAGCGTCCTTGCATTCCTGCATCCTTCCCTGAGACGGAGATGAGCTGAACAGCTGACCTTGACCCAGAGGGTGACTAGCCTGGGCTATTGTTTACCCAGTGATCGGCGCATGATACTGCCTAGACATAGGGGTTTAACTTTACGGTTCGGAGGTGCGTAATCGCGCAGTTAGCACCTTCTAAGCTGGCAACACACAGAAAGACACTGCCTGACACTTAAGATTACCAGTTCTTACCATTTAAGCGCTGGAGGAAGAAGTTAAAGAAGAAGGAGAGCGTCAAATGTAGACCCCAATCATGGCGGCTCTTCCACATTTCAACCGCCACCAATATCGTCATTACGAAATCACCTAGGAAATCCGAGCACTCTGCAAAAAGGGTGGATAAAGGCAAATTTAATGAAATCATCCGGTGTCTGGGACAATTGTCCGTCGGTATTGGAGGGGCAAACTCGTATTCAAGACCCACAAAACTCGTGTAGGAGCAAAATTAACGGAAAACAGGTCAGCGAGCCTTTTCATGCAGGACGCTGCTCCTGCCCATCGGTCTGCCAGAACTAAGAGTTCGTGCCACTAAGAGCATCTATCCGATATCTTGGCGAAAGGCACATGGCTAGGGAACAGGTCTACCCTAAATCTAATCACATTATCTCAAAGAGTCGTGCAGCAGGAGCTTGACAAGACTGAGCCAACCAGCGACCCGGGACAGCTCGAAAAGGCGTTCAGGTAGGCCTGGGCAAACGTCAGCCCTTAGCATCTCCAGAATTTTGTGCCTAGCATACCTGCTGGTGCCTCACGCTGTGTCCATCTTCATGGAGAATAGGCTGACCGTTGAAATGAATCTGTTGCATTATCTTTATGAAAGGAGGGGACGGTTTAAAAGGTATCAAACTTTTGACGCACCCTATAGAAGCGCTAAATGCCAGTGCAAGAATGGCACATGGAAATAGGACCAACCAGCCCGTTTTAACGGCTTATTAGGTAGCGCTTATGTCAATTTTTACTTTACCAAGGTTGAGTCATTTGCTTTTTGATGCATTTAGTTTTGCACATACCTATTGTCTCAGGTACCCAAATTCTTTATTGTCGCACTCAATAAAATTTTGCCCATCACAAGAAAAAAAAACTAATAAATGGAAACCTAAAATATGGCTGGTACGGAACGTAGGTAATGATAAAATGCGTTATACATATAAAAAAGTAGGCATGTAGGCAGTAGGAATATTGCTCTCGTGACAGGTCAAAATGTCTGTGGACGCCGTTGCTAGTCTTTTTTCTTGTTCGGCAATGATAGAAACGTTAATGCAAACGCTTCTATAAATGGCATAGCTTCATGAAAGCAATGTTGATTATGCCTTTACAATGCAAGGCAAATAGGTATGGGCGTCGGTCAGCACCTGAGGAATTTTGAAAGTACAAGACCTTTGAATATCCAACCGCAGCCTCACAATTCTCCATTGTCAGCGTGTAAGCACTGTCCGAGATTGCCGACATCAAATCATTTTACATGACCGCCACCCTAGATCATAAACTCACCGACAATGAACTTGCAAGCACTTTTGGTTCACAATAAAGCCATTGGTGGCCTTGGATAGCCAACAACATTCCGCCCTGCACGAGCTGTTGCCACGTGCCCTGACTTCGTCGAAGCGCTCCCAGCCGCATCCCTTCCACGCGGCAAAACCCGGCGCGTGTGTGCTCCTCCTACATCACATAGTATTGCTGTTCATCCTCACCACCTAACGACCCGCGACACGAACAGGCAAGAGTTGGTTCAATTAAATAAAAACGGACACGGCGGCGTTCGATCGATCTGATCGATGGCGAGCCGGGGGCGTCCTGGCCTTGCCGCGCTGCACACCGCGGCGGGTGAACGGGTCCGGTGGGGCGGCGCGGCTCTGCCGTTTATGAATGGTAGTGAGGAGATGGGCGTTCACGGTGACAGTTACAGGCCGATCATGGCCCGATAGGACTCGTAACATTCGCGGCGTCGAGTCCACGACCGCCGCGGTTTATAGCAGCAAATGAGAGCAACGCAGGGGGTGAATGCAGGTATACATACTATGATGAGGAGGAGACCCATGCGCTTTTATCTTTTTCAAATGTTCGTTTCTGATATTTAAAAACCAACATGGTGGGAGGAAGAGTCATGATAGTTATATGCCATTCGGTGGCTTAGTTATTTCTAATTAACGTTCGTCTAACCCTTAATCCGTAATTTACAAACTAAGGATAAATATTTCAAACTGCAGGAAGCAAAAAAAGTGATGAAACACGGTTGTTTCATCAGCTTCGAACAAAATGATTCATTGGCTGAGTTATGCTTAGGACTAAAATATGGACATCGGGATGCCTGTACATAGAACTCTCATGCTTAAATATATAGAAGATAGATTTTCAGCATAACTTGTTCATTGACAGGTATCGAACATTGTCTGTACCTACAGTACAGCAACTGCAAGTATAATTGCATGGAACGCGTAACCCACGCGATATTGTAAGCGCTGTCTAGACTTTGAGGAACGTTTCTAGATATGCAAATATTCGTCTATCATGTCTGCTAATAATAATAATGCATATCACCATTGCATGAGAAAACAACTTAAAAGTGAGCTAAAAATGCTGAAACTTCACTTACTTCAATGCCGTGCTGAATGCCACAGATACAAAGTAGCTATTTGCAAGAGTAACCGCAGATAAGAACCGTTAATTCAAACTAACACGATAACTATAAATCACGGTAATGAGGCCATGCTGCGGTCATGTTCTCCAGATGAGTTTGGATAATTACAGCTATTGGCCCTTCCAAGGCCTGTAATAGCCCATAGCGAGCAAAACGCCACTATTGGTGGCTCGCCGCCCTGGTATGACAAGATTATCATATTCTGCCGGGAAGAACAGTGCAGTATGTCCTTGGCTTCTTCATGCTCCGATGAAGCTCAGAGTATTCATCATCTGTTCTAATTTATTTGGTTAATGTGAGCTTACCTGGCTCCTTACATCGGTTACCATGCTGCTCGTGTACTCCTATTAACCATAGAGCACCCAGCCATCTCGGCACCACAGCCATATTTCACTCTGTTAATGAGAAACTGTCAGTCTGCATCATCGTTTGGCTTTGTTTCACCCCAACAGTTAAGCTCAGACACCTCATTAATTGTATTCATTACACTAATGAACGGTTTTATACGAACAGGTGCTCACCTTTTATGGGCCTCAGATTATTATGAAAGTAATTTCGTGTCGCTTTATTCGAACATTTCACCTAATAGCAAAGTAAACAGCAGTCGTGTCAAGCCTAAGCTTCCGACTTTGTATGAATTTCTCGCAACGATACGCACAGAAAAGTATGCATGCCTCGCACATACAACGTCACCTTCCAGCCGCCTGAGACCGGCCTCTATTCACAAAGACGCCCCACGTGGTCTGAGATCTGACAGATGAATCACAGGACCCTCACAAAAAAATCAACGTGGTTATCAGTTGACTACGTTGGCACCGAAGGGTTCAATGCTTTCCTTCCCGTTTTGTAACTGTGTGCGTTTTCCTCTGTCCATAGGTCTGCGTGCTGTTAGCGGTTCTGCTGGGCGGCGGCACGGGCGCTCCGTTGGCCCGTGCCGCCCCCGCCCCCGCCCCCGGCCGCGTGCTGCATCAGATGATCGCCGATCGTTTGGGCGGCGTGCCCGCCACGCCGGCCGCCAGCGCGGCGCCGGAGCGGCCGCCCCCGCCCGGCGACTCCCGGGAGCCCCGCCAGTACGGCGAGACCGGCGACTACGACTACTACTACGTGTACGAGTACGACGACCTGCCTCCCGAGGACGCGGACGTCAGCACGGCGGAGGTCGGGCAGGCTGCAGCTGTCGCCCCGACAGAGTCCAGCGCCGCTGCCACCGACGCCGCGCCGGCCCGGGCGTCTCCGAGTCCGACACCAGAGGAGCAGGCCGTTAGTAGTGTCACGGTGAGATCAACAGAACCCAGTGCGAGCCCAGAGTATGGCTTGGAGCCTGAGTTGGAGTCGGAGTCGACTGTCAGGCCAGATTTGACGAGTTCCACGATAAGAACTTCGCACACAAACGTCCCGACAGCGGCTTCCTCCAGCCCAACGCCAAAAGAGCAGCGTAAAGAGCAGAAGGGCGTGGTCTCACATCCAGTTTCAGAGCATTCTCTCGATGAATCTAGAATATATCTTGAGGAAGTAGAATACGCTACGACGTCGGCTGAGTTAACAACTACGGAAAGTTCGCAGACTCGCACTCCATCGAGTTCAACCATCGCTCCTTCATCAACCACAGCTTCGCCTTCATCAACCACAACTTCATCGACCACCACATCAACGCCATCGCCAACAACGACATCTTCATCCACACTAAAGCCACCCAGCACAGCCTCGCCATCCGCAAACAAGAAGCAGCCGTACACCCGGTCCAAGCCGGCCTCGGGTGACACGTTTCACGATCAGCTGAACGAGGTACGCCAGGGCCACTCGGAAGTGAACGAGATCGACCTGGAGCACCAGGCAGCGGGCGGCTTCCAGCAGTCGACGGCACCGTTCGAGCAGCAGGGCTCCAGCAGCGACAAGGTGCTCGCCTACCAGCTGCGCGCCGCCAACCTGGACGAGCCGCGCGAGACGCCCGAGTTCTTTGTGCCGCCGATCGTGCGCCGACCGTACCGACGCCGGGTGTCGCTGACGGGCGGTGGACGGCGCAGCAACGCGCCCAGCCTCGGCGACCGGCTGGCCGAGCAGGTGCGCCGGCAACTGGAGGAACTGGAGCGCCGCGAACAGGCCGAGACCGGCTACCGACACCCGTTTATCCCGAGCCCGCCGACCACCAGCGAGAGGCCGTACCGGCACCCCTTCATCCCCAGTCCGCCCACCACCACTGAGAAACCGTACAAGCATCCGTTCATTCCGACTCCTCCCAGCACCACAGAAAAGCCCTACAAACCTCCCTTCATCCCCACACCACCCTCCACGACAGAGAAGCCCTACAGACCGCCGTTCATCCCCACCGCACCGAGCACCACCAGTCGTCCGTACCAGCATCCGTTCATCCCGTCCGCGCCGACACCCACCCCGCAGCCCTACCGCCACCCGTTCATCCCCGTACCTCCGTCAGCGACAGAGCGGCCGCAGGCGCGCCGCATCGGCGGCGACGCCGGCCGCGCGCAGGCCACCATCGTGCACGAGGAGACGCTCGAGGCGGGCTTCATCGTCGGTGAGTACGGCGTGGTGCACGGCGGCGGCACGGTGCGCGGGGTCAAGTACGCCGCCGACAGCAGCGTCGACCGGCGGCTACTTGAGGAGGCGCTTGCGCACTTCCTGAGGCTGTGAGACAGCCGGTGGCGACGGCTGCCGCGACCGGCCGACATACGCTGCCGTCAGACCTCGCCGGACCCGCCGGGCGGCGTAAGCGTCATCGCCGCCATCACGCATCATCAAGGTCGTCATCAGAAGTGGCTGTCGATGACGGTGAGATGGAGTGCGTCATCGCTTTGTGTGGCGCCGACTCGGAAATACGTGCCCGGTGACAGTGCCATTTGCGACTGGACGTTGGAGGAGGTGTGCCGCTGCGTTTTAACCATGCATATCGTGTGTGTGTTGGCTCCATCGAATTTCATTTTTATCGACTGTGAGGCTACACCGAGTTCCATTTACATCAGCTGTAAAGCATGGAGTGGTAGCACAAAGTCTAGAAGTTATCGTGTTGTATAACGAAGCAAGGGCAGTCGATCATCTTCACAGGCGTGGCGTGGCCGCCGGCAGCGTAGGCGGCCGTATGCAGCAGCTCTGAGCCGGTTTGTCTTTCGGTTGGGTGGGCCATTGGTCAGTTCATAATCGTCATATCAGAAGTATGTCATCGATGAAGCTTACGCAGTCTTATCGCCGAAACGCTATAATAATAAGGGCATTGCACTATAATCCTGTCTTTTGGTTGTGTCGGTGAAATATCGTGTTAGATTATGAATCGATAAAACAAATGACGACGTATGGACAGAGCTAGGGACATGCAGTGCAGCTCTAAAAATCATATTTTCACAAATAATTTCGCATAACATGCTGACAGCTCAGCATCCTACAAAAAGAAATAAAGGGCGAACAAAGGCCATCACTACTCGCTCGTACAGTCGTGTACAGGTTGATGGTCCCCTACTCTTTATCCACCGGGTTCCTATGGTTCAGCATTGGCAGCAGCCGCCTGGTACCGGTAGGCTGTGCCGCATGACCCGAGAGTGAAGCGGCACATTCTACCCACGCCGTTTGACATCGGCTCGGGTCGCCGGGTGGAGCGCTTTGTAGACCAGCTGTTGCGTCAGACCAGCGCGGGGGGAGGGGCTCGTCTCGGTGGTTGGCGTGGGCTGGCGAGTGGTGTGGGGCGTGTTGGTGGACCATGGGGGCTGGGCGGGTGTGTGTGGTCACTTGCTGCATTGCACATTTTGCGTCGCTTAACAATTGCATTCCTGTTTTTGCTAGGCACAATGCACGGAAGATCCAGCGAATATAATTTACTTTACTTGTGCATTGTGCAAAACGGGATTTGGCACGGTATCGAGGCAACCATAGGTCTTATGCCTATGCATGACATTTAGGCAATACGTTTATGAAAACGGTAGATTGATGCTGGATGTCAATTCGTATTGCTAAATGTCGGCACGTATTAAATGAATGAATGAATCAATCAATCAATCAAACAATCAATAGACATGTATAAAACCGTTTAAATGGCTCGCAACCACTAATAGCAATCACACCATCCTAACTCGGAAAACCAGCCGGAGCCCTGATGAGGCTCGAACCGGGACTCCACGCTGTAAATTTTGCCAATGATCCATCATCATTCCACCAAGGTAGAGTAACCGGCACCCGAACCCACAAAAACAAACCCACGAGCCGCTGGGGGGGCATAAAGTTGCCCCCCTTTACGTTTTGTGAAATATCTCCGAAACCTGATGAGCTACGAACGTGAAACTTGGCATAGCTTCAAATGAATACCTAGGCAATGTTTGAGGAAAGTTTGGTGGTTGTAGCACCTAAGATGACGTCACAGTGACGTCATAAAGTTTTGTCGTTTTCCGACATGGACCGTTTCTGATGACGCTGAGCATGAAACTCAACTGTAAATGAACTAGATAGCACCTGCTGTCATCCTAAAACATCTAACTACACTTCCATCTAGTTTCTGACCAATAATCGACCCTTTATATTCGGTCCCACATATCTGATGTATCGTGAGGAATATGAGAGTCGCAAATCTATAATTTCACTTATGACGTCACTGTGACGTCATTTCAAATGGGATCGACACCAAATTTGGACACAACCTTGGCTAGGTATTCAGGAAGGTGTGTGCAAAGTTTCGCTTCTCTATCTCTTCGCGTTGCGACGATAGCGCCACAGAAGTAAAGGGGGGCAACTATATGCCCCCCCCCCCCAGCGGCCGGCGGGTGGCGCGGAGGCCCAGCGGCCGCCGGGTTAAAGGGACCCTCCCACCTTCAAAAAAGTAAATGAATTGGCATGAAAGTGATGTCGCTCGGTTCAGAAAGAGCAAAAACGAATATCTACCAAATTTCATCGAAAAATATTCACCGGTTTTCAAGATATTAGACTTTTACTTTTGTTTACTTTTTGGGATCTCCGATGTTCCTATAGCGACTTTATTTGAAAGTGCGGCATTTGTTGCGCGCAAAGCAGCATATACCACCGCGTGCTACAAAACGTTTTAGTCAAACATTTAAAAATCGTTAGATATCTGCACTGACGTCACACATTCAGAGGGGTATACCTATGCATTAGCCCCTCTGAATCAAAATGCTGCAATTTTGAAATTCAATATTTCCGATTTAAGGCATTTCTCGATGTTGTGAGTGCCGAAACCGGTAATTGTGAGCCAGGGACCCCATTTTGGCTATCTCAGCTCAAATCTAATGTTAAGGTGGGAGGGTCCCTTTAATTGACTGCCGCCGACCTCCCGGCCCCGCCGCCCGCCCGGCCAGACTTTGCCCCGGCCATGGTCACCATCCGGTGTAGCTCAGCGTGGGAGTGCTCGACTGTCAAACTGACCGGTAGTGAGGGGCCCGGTTCGAAACGCTTCGGATGCTGGATGTTCATTTCTCGGTGGGAGGCTTTACGTTTAGTCCACTTTTCAGAAAGATCATTTGGTGACTGACCTGTTTTCTTACTTTGCTGCAATTCATGAGGAGACCGTATGCACCCTTACCTGTCCTTCCGCACCCCACTTGGGAGATGGGTGGTTGCCCCCCCTCCATGGGTTTGTGAATATATCTAAAACGAATTTTTGGAGGGAGGATACGATCGGTTCTATGCGACAAGTGACCACACACGCCCAGCCCCAGGTCCGCTCACTCCCTACCCATATCACCCCCTCCCCACACCACACTCCAGCCCGCCTCATCCACCGAGCCGAGCCATAACGAGCCTCAGCGCCCCGGGGCGCGACCTGTCAGCGAACCGGCGGGGACGCGGGCCGGCGGTTGCGTGCGCCGAGGGGGCAGGGGCGCGTCCAGGCGTCGGGGACATCGAGGCGGCGCGAGCTGGCGCCGCCACGGCGACACTGGACCAGACCTGATAATTGGACACCTCAACATTCAGTCGTTGAAGCCCAAACTGCCGGATCTGCGAGACGACATTTATAGAAGAGTTCACGGATTTGATATATTGTCCCTGTTATTATATATACAGTGTTCGCTGACAGGTCGCGCCTCGGGGCGCTGAGGCTCGTTATGGCTCGGCTCGGTGGATGAGGCGGGCTGGAGTGTGGTGTGGGGAGGGGGTGATATGGGTAGGGAGTGAGCGGACCTGGGGCTGGGCGTGTGTGGTCACTTGTCGCATAGAACCGATCGTATCCCCCCTCCAAAAATTCGTTTTAGAGATATTCACAAACCCATGGGGGGGGGGCAACCACCCATCTCCCAAGTGGGGTGCGGAAGGACAGGTAAGGGTGCATACGGTCTCCTCATGAATGATGAATTGCAGCAAAGAAAGAAAACAAGTCAGTCACCAAATGATCTTTCTGAAAAGTGGACTAAACGTAAAGCCTCCCACCGAGAAATAAACATCCAGCATCCGAAGCGTTTCGAACCGGGCCCCTCACTACCGGTCAGTTTCACAGTCGAGCACTCCTACGCTGAGCTACACCGGATGGTGGCTATGGCCGGGGCAAAGTCTGGCCGGGCGGGCGGCGGGGCCGGGAGGTCGGCGGCAAAGTCAATTAATGTTTTTGTGGGTTCGGGTTAGAGGTGGCAAAATGTGGACCCAAGGACCCGGTCCAAAGAACCAGTCTGGACCCATATGGGTCCAGATTGGTTCCTGGAAATTTTCTGACGAGTCCAACCGGGTCCTACCATAAACTGTACATCTTGCAAACTACACATTATTGCAAAATATGAGGTGAATGAAGTGAATGTTTCTTGGCACACAGTAGCTCATGAGTATTCCCAGTGGGAAATAGGCTGCTTTACATGATGCAACTAATGATACCCGGTTCCCCAAAAGTCGATTAATACAAACTACTTGTAGGTATCAATGATACCTACAAGTAGTTTGTATTAATCGACTTTTGGGGAACCGGGTCCAACTGGCTCCGATTCCAACTAAGGCCGGGTCCGACTGGTTCCAGAAATGTCCAGCCGGGTCTGGTTCGAGTCTGGTTTCCAAAATTTTCATCTTTTGCCACCTCTAGTTCGGGTGCCGGATACTCTAGCTTGGTGGAATGATGATGGATCATTGGCAAAATTTACAGCGTGGAGTCCCGGTTCGAGCCTCATCAGGGCTCCGGCTGCTTTTCCGAGTTAGGATGGTGTGATTGCTATTAGTGGTTGCGAGCCATTTTAAACGGTTTTATACATGTCTATTGATTGTTTGATGAATTGATTGATTGATTCATTCATTTAATACGTGCCGACATTTAGCAATACGAATTGACATCCAGCATCAATCTACCGTTTTCATAAACGTATTGCCTAAATATCATGCTTAGGCACAAGACCTATGGTTGCCTCGATACCGTGCCAAATCGCGTTTTGCACAATGCACAAATAAAGTAAATTATATTCACTGGATCTTCCGTGCATTGTGCCTAGCAAAAACAGGAATGCAATTGTTAAGCGACGCAAAATGTGCAATGCAGCAAGTGACCACACACACCCGCCCAACCCCCATGGTCCACCAACACGCCCCACACCACTCGCCAGCCCACGCCAACCACCGAGACGAGCCCCTCCCCCCGCGCTGGTCTGACGCAACAGCTGGTCTACAAAGCGCTCCACCCGGCGACCCGAGCCGATGTCAAACGGCGTGGGTAGACTGTGCCGCTTCACTCTCGGGTCATGCGGCACAGCCTACCGGTACCAGGCGGCTGCTGCCAATGCTGAGCCATAGGAACCCGGTGGATAAAGAGTAGGGGACCATCAACCTGTACACGACTGTACACATTTACCGAGAGCGAAGTTCCCACTTCCCATAAAAGAGCAATGAGGGAGTGCTGGTGTTTTGCATCTTTTGGTTATCCTCACCTTACTGTTACTCAGAAAACAGCTCTCATATTTTGCATGAAACATGCATTGCGACTACCTCGGCCAACCCATATTTCACACACTATGGAGGGTGCACGGAAGAGCCGCGAGTTACAACGGCGCTAGCCGCACCTGAATACACCGCACAGCATGATGCCCATGATCAGAGTGATGGACACCTCATGGGGGCGCATTTATCTGACATTTGGATGACAATGAAAACATAATGCATATCACATGCAACCACCTAGGTGACTGTTTGAACCCGCAAAATTGTCTTGATTTAGCTGCATTTAAATTCAAAACATTCGAGAAGCACACTAGCACACGATTCATTGACGGACATCGCCGAAACACCGCTCTTTCAGGCTGCAATAGAAATGCTAAT